CAGTGACTCCTAGAACTCTGGATTCCCAACGATGGAACCACTGAAACAAACATAGATTTATTACAGATCTTCTGGAAATACAACAAAATCTGCTGGGTCAAAAATACACATACAGCAACTTGACTTACCAGTTGTAGTGATGTAGAAAGTTGTGTTGATCTAATTTACTTAGCAGCATGGCTTCTTAACGTCTCCTGAGTGATTACGATTGTCTACAGCTGCTGACTCCTCTGAGCCAATTTAAACAGAACCATCTGATCCACTCATTAGCCTCAGCCACAAACTGTAAAGTAGGAAAGTCTGAGGAGCTCATCTAAGATCTGAAAAAGCAAATAAGTGGCTTGGACAAGTCAAAAAGTCACTTGGAGCCGTTTCAGAGCAGCTTCAGATCCCAGAACCATCAGTGTGTCAGCATAACGTTCACGGTCCAGTTGTGTTACTGCCACCATCAGGAAGGAAACACAAACTATCACCTGCTGCTGAGAGACGACTGGTCAGGATGGTCAAGAGTCAACCAGGAACCAGCAGAAAGCAGCTCTGGATGGACCAGAAGCTGCTGGAACACAGCCGTCAGTGTCCACAGGGTCTGACATCAACATGAGCTGAGAGGCTGATGGAGAAGGAAGTTCTTCCTCTAGAAGCAGAACCTTAAAGCTCCACTGATCACATGGACAAAGAAAAGGCCTTCTGGAGGAAAGTTCTGTGGAACAAACACTGAGCAGAACCATGTGTGGAGGAGAGAAGGTGAGGCCTTTAACCCCAAGAACACCAGACCTACCATCAAGCATGGAGGTGGCAGCATCATGCTCTGGAGCTTTACACAAAGTCAATGGAACAATGAAGGAGGAGGATTAAAACCTGAAACCATCAGCAGAAGGTTGATCTGGGACACAGTTGGATGTTCCAACCAGACAATGAGTCCAAACACATCAAAGTGGTGAAGACATGGTTCCATCAGGCTGGGATTAGTCCTGACTTAAATCCTTCCATATGAAAAGTGCTGAGGTCAAAATGGCCAAAAGGACGTTGAACAAAACACTAGCATTGCTGTATGTGTATTTGTAACTCAGCAAATTTGTAATTTTTCCAGAAGAACTATAACAAATCTATGAAAGAATGAAAATGCATGACTGTTGTTTTGTGTGAGGTGAAGTTATGAAGCTCAGAAATGATGGAAAAGGCAACAAGAGTTAAAAAGACCAACATTATGGACTTCAAGGGCCTTTAAATCTAAACAATATTCTCAGCATGAGGGCAAAAACTTTGCATGACTTTATCGTGCATCTAAAACAAGCTGATTGTGAGGCGGTCTGGTTGGATTTGTTTTTTCAGGAACGTGTCCTCCTGATGCAGGGCTGTGTGGTGTTTGGTTTTTAGAACTGTTTGAATGTCGTGTGCTGGAAAATTTTAAAAATTTACAGCTGTGAGAATGCAGTCAACAACTCAACATGCTATCTGAGCTGAAACACTCGAACCTGCTCTGCAAACTCTTGAAGGCAACTTTGCTTCTACGTGGATTCTGGTGTTTTAAAACAGGCAACAAATTTGAATCAGTTCATTTATTGCTTTAATGAATTATTGTAAATCTAATGAACCAGCTGCATGTAGAAATGTCACCGCATATTCTGTTAGTAGGATTACACAAAACCGACCAGGTTCAACAGGTTGCATGTCGTGAAACCTGCTGAAGCAAAGACGACGACGTTAGACTTTGGTGCAGACGTGAAATGATATCATAAAAGTGTTAACCACTGTGTTTGGTCTGCGAGCATCCTTCTGATGCCACCGTGATTCATGCATCAGTAAAAGCTCTTGCACATCTTCCCCTTTCTATCCGTCTGAATGTCTGAAGCTCACCTGCTCTGTGTGTCGGAGAAAACAGCAGATATGACTCAGCAGCACGTCGTCGACGTCTCAGGAAACCTGATTCCAATATAGAAGCAGATCAAGCTTTCTGACCCTGCAGCTAATGAAACGCACTCAGAGGAACTGATTAGTTTTTTTCTTTTTACAACCTGCGGCTGTCAGGTCTTGAAAAAGCCCTTTTAATAAAGTTTGCCAAACAGCCGACTTTGTAATTGACGTGGTGTTTATACCTGAACGCGTGAAGGTTTGGGAAATGTGGACGTCGAGCAGTTACCGTTTTTCATTATCCAATTCTCTGTGGCCGGGCGGCTCGACAGCGAGGTTTTTTTTTTTCCTTCTTCGTCTTTGTGTCTGAGTAAACACAGAGCTCGTCCTCGGAGACATTAGCAGCTTTGACAAGCCGCCTTCGAGTAATCTGGGGAAGCTGGTCCAGCTAATAAAAACAAGCGGTGCGGTCTAATGCAATTGCACACCAATAATTAAATAAAAACAGAGCGAAACTGGATTTTCCGCGGCAAAACAATGAGAGGGAAAAGGGGGGAGAGGAAAAAAGGCGATTACCCGCAGCCTATTGTGCGGCTTAGCAGAGCAAAAGAGAAACGCCTCAGAAAGCAGCAGACTCCAGGGAGACCAGGACACAAATTGCAGATAGTCCTCACAAAAAAACTCTGGCCCCGACCTTATGAAGAGAATTAAAGTGCCTTTGACTGGAGCTCACACTGTCGTTACAAGAAGAAACTCTCTGTTGTTCCAGTTCACACAACACCGCCAGCTTCAGGCTTTATCGATAAATTGGTTCGGCTGTAATTTCTGGAAGTTTTAACGGACGGCAAACGGGCTGGTTTCCGTTTACCGTCGCCCTCAGTGGCTGATACGGATCTGCTCCCCGCAGCAGCCAGAGGTGATGTCGTGTTTAAGCCTTTTTAAAAAAAAATCTAATCCTACACAAACCTCCAGTCCTGTATCAGTTCGTGCGTCTCTCTGGTGCTACAATCAAAGAAAACGTGAGGAAAAAAAACAACTTTTCTTTTAACAAAAAAAAAAAATTAGTGTCTCTTGAATGTTTCTCGGTCGATTTGATGATTTTTCTTTGGGAGTTTTTTTTTCCTCAAAATGGAACAATGTCGCTGCTGCTGCAAATGTTTGTTTACCTGCAAGGATTCTGGCTCAAAGAACGACTGGCAGCTCATCTTTAATGCTGCAGGGGGAAAAAAAAAAAAAAAAGAGTTTAAAATGTGAATTTTAATACCTCAGAGGTATCAGACGCCATCTGCGGTATTTATAGATATACTCCCAGCTTATATATGAGAAGGTGCAGCATTTCCATTTAAATGCATCAAAAGAAGAAGAAGAAGAAGACGCCATCTGCGGTATTTATAGATATACTCCCAGCTTATATATGAGAAGGTGCAGCATTTCCATTTAAATGCATCAAAAGAAGAAGAAGAAGAAGAAGAAAAAAAACACACATTGGTAGAAGACATGATTGAATTTTCGGGCCTCTTGAGATTCCGAGGCTTCGGCCAATCTGTCCGAGATTGAGGCTAACGCAACAGAAGCCGGCGCGATGTGTGAAACATGTTTATGGAAATTTATGGAAATGAATGTTCGTCCCTTTCATAGTTTCCCACAGAAATGATTTTGAAATGAGCCAAGTGGAGGGATTTCCTCGGCGCCCGCCTCCTCTTTGACCATCTGATGGGATACGACAACCGAGCAGCCTGAAATCTAGCGAGTGTTTCATTAAGAGCGGACGTGCACAGTCTCACTTGTGGATTGAATTTCATGGAATTACAAAAGGCTGGTAATGATGCAGTGAGCTTTAACTTGACTCTACTGGTACGAAATGTGCAGACGTCTGATTCAAGTATTTTATAACTAGTGAGTAAAACGAAAAGCAGACCAACCTGAAGGACGAGGAGAGTCAGAAAAGTTCCAGGACTGGTGTCACAAAAGATATCCAGCCGTGACTCGATAATCCGACACTAAATGCAAAACCTTCTTATATGTCAGATATCAAGGCTGTCGGATTGTCAAGACGGAGGTCGAGATACAAGGAGGGCTTGATGCTGGAAGGATCCAAGGCTGTCGGTATGTTTTTCATGGGTTCCGTTCCTTTCCTAAAAATCTGTCGGGTAGCAAGGTTTAGGATTGTGAAGGGTCGGATTATCAAGTCACGACTGTGTTTCAAACCTGAACTACAAACTACGAGAGGCGAGAGTTGTGGCAGGACCAGTGGAGGCTGCTTCACCATGACAACCTGCTCATAACGCCCTGAGCATCCCACAGTTCCTGGCTGAGGAGAACATCACCGTGCTGGAGCAACCTCCCTACTCACCCCACCTGGCTCCGTGGGATTTGTTCCTCTTCCCAAAACTCAAGGGGGTCATCGAGGGGAGCGGTTTAGAAGATGTGGACGACATCAAGATGGCTGTGATGACGGAGCTGAGGAGGGTCCTGGAAGAATCCTTCCAGGAGTGCATGGAGAAGGCTGGAGAAGTGTGTTAGACTCCAGGGGGATTACTACGAAGGGAAACACTTGCAGTTTGGGTTTGAAATACATCTTCTGTGACACCACTCCTGAAACTTTCCTCACACACCTCATATCTGCAACGTGAGTGTGTTGAGGTGCACAAACAGCTGCTTTAGGGCTTTTAAAAAGTAAAATTCACCAGAACACGGAGCTCATTCATGTAACTCAGACCAAGGCTTCAGCAGATGAAAAAGACTTTTTATAGGAGAGATGACAACAAGGCCAAAAATATCACAGCGAGTGATGCTAAACTCATCGCACAGGTTCTGACCATTGTTTGGAGCTTTTTGTATGGAAAACCAAAGGTGCCATATTTCAAATCAAAACTACTTCTTTTTGCAGCACTTGAGTTTAAGTTAAGTTAAGTTCCTGACCACCTACGAGGACCTTCATTAGATGTGGCTGCTGTTGTTTGGTCAACTATAGTTGTTCTAAACATTTATTTAATTTGAAGCGTGTTTAGTCTTAGAAAAATGGCATCAAATTAAGACTCGGTATTGATCGCGACATCCCTACTAAAGATTACTGTTGAGTATTTATTTATTTACATTCACCTCTGTAATGAATGTACTGGGGAAAAAAAAATCAGTTCTAGGAAACATTTGTTTTATATTTTTTTACTGTTAGACTCGTTGGTTTATCAGCACATTAAAAGGGAAACAGGAGAAGACATCCACAGACAGTTAAGACATGAGAGGTTTTACTCAGTTGAAGCAGATATTGAATCTTCATCTTGGAATGATGGCGTTCTTAGAAGGTCTAGAGATGAAAACTAACAGTCCCAGGATCCCAAATCTAATTATTGTTGACCTTTAGAACAAAGAGGTTACTGGAGGTCAGGATGTACAGTCTCTCATTGGTCGCTCTGAAGCCCAGGATTGGCTTGTCCGAGTCCAGGCTGGCCACCTGTTGCTTGGCAACCTGCCCTACCTGTCGGCCCTGCTTCCTGTTGAACAGGACGGTTTCCACCGGCGACGGCTGCCGGTAGATGAAGGCTCGGCGGAGACACTCGCACAGCGACGCGTACGAGAAGTTCGGAGCGCAGGTGGCGAACTTCTTATCCCGCTTGGATGCCTGGACGTAACCTGTTGAAACAGAAAGTAAGATCTGAGGCATGCAGGAGGCTCTTTAATCTTTATTTTATGCTGCTTCACTGAGACGAGGCTGTTCTGAGCAGGAACGACCTCACAGAGTCAAACACATCGACGGCTGTCCAGCAGCAGAGCAGCAACGTGTTGATTCTCACAGTTCTCATGTCATAAGCTGGATTCCTGATCTATCACCTGCATTAAGAGGAAACATGCACATCGGGCTAAATGTTCAACGACACTGATTAGAATGAGGGAAGACAATTAAAGCTTAAAGTAAATCCCGCATTTGTGCAGCTTCTCTCTCAGTCACAAACTCATCTGTCAGGCTCCTGGAAGAGATCAAAACAACGTTCTCTGACAGCTTTTTTCAGTATTTTGAGCTTCTGATCATCCGTGACAGGCTGTTTGAAAGCTGATTGGATCTCCAGTGGGTTGAACGGAGCTTCTTGTAAACGTTTAGGGCTGAAGAACTCTTAGAGACACTTCAAACTCACTAAAACAGCAACGTTAAGGCTAAACCCCCCCATGGTTTCTCTAAGAGGAACTCTTTCTATATCCAAGGTTGTAAAAAAACAAGAAAGTCAATCATTTTGTCCTTGAATGGAATTAAATCCCCACATTGTCTGACATATCTTGAAGGGATCGACTGATTATTGGCTTGGCCAGTTACTGGTACTGAGTGTTATTGTAGTATCATAGACAACCTAAAAACACTGAAGGATAAACACGGAAAAGTTCTCTTCACGGATGCAGATCGAAGCATTTTTTTTCCTAATCGGTGTCGGCATGAACCTAAACCTGATCCTTCTTTTGCTCCGCTATCACAAAGGTGTAATAAAGAGACAGCACAACTTGTTGCTGGACAGGGATGCACATTTTTAGCCATTTTCTCAATCAATAATCAATGATTGATAAAAACACATGATTTGAGCCACAAGGGCAGCTGTGCACCACACGACACTGGAACACAGGAACACTGTCCTAGTCCATCTCTTCAATAAGAACTCTGGTCCAAGGTCACTAACCGTCACAGTCGTCTCTGTCATGGTCCCATTGCTAGCTAAACTCCTGCTTACTGTTCGCCAACATGAACTTCCTGTAGTCTGAGTGAGGCCTCCTCTGGTCTCTACAGTGTTAAACAGTGAGAGGCTCCACCTGGTGGAACAACCAGGTACTACAGCCGGTCTACGATACATTTTCTGACATGCATGACCTTCTTCTTTTGCTGCATTGGTTGACATATTTTTAAATGGTTAAATTATGAACCAATTCAAGAACCAGGTCTGTAACTGGTCTGAAATCAGTCCAAAAGCTGCTCTAACGGTCGTCTGAAATGAAACTGAAACAAAGTGCAAAACCAAGTCTGAAACCAGTTTAAAAGAAAGTGTAGACCAAGTCTAAATCCAGACCTGAAGCTGCTTTGACTAGAAATGCATAAGTTCTAGTTGGAGCTCATTAACCTCTCCACAAGTCTTTGTCATGGTCCTTTTGCTAGCTAAACCCCCACAATGCTCTCTGCTGCCAACATGAACTGCCTGTAGTCAGAGTGACGCCTCTACAGTGTTAAACAGTGAGAGGCTCCACCTGGTGGAACAACCAGGTACTACAGCTGATCTACGATACATTCACTGACATGCATGTAGAGAAAACAGGTTTTCTGTAGCACATCCTGCCCTCTATCACTACATTTCAGAGAGTGTCCTAACGTACCTTTACAACAAGGTTCCTGAACTCCTACAGAACACTAAGGAACAGCCTGGGGGCCGAAATGCAAATAGTTTTTAATGCGTTGTAGAGCTATTTAACTATTCCAACATCTATATTAGATTAATGTATACACCTGTAATGTACTCTAAATGATTTGAACTTGATTGTTGGCAAACAAAAAAACAAGTTGATGAGGACATTCTTAGTTTTCTTTTAATTAAACAGACATGAAACAGAAATAAACCAAAATATATTTCAATAGCATGTTGAGCTGGAGTTTGTGTTATCATAAATTTGGACAACTAGATTTTCATTCTTACTGCAAATGTTTGTTTCAAATACTGGTCATTGGTCTCCTTGATTGCGGCATTAAAAAAAAGAAACCCATTGATTGAGCCTTCGTCTAATAAACACCATGTCTTTTCACATGTGCACACATGCTTACAAGCCATTGAAGTGGGAGAAAACAATCAAAGTTTCATCAGGCATGTGTCCAGTTAGTAAATGGTCATTCTATTGCTTGCCTCGTTGGCGTATTAAGGGCAAGTGCTGCTCTTTTCCTGACCTGATTTACTCCTTTTGGCGTGTTATTGGATCAGCCTTCCAGTGAGAGACCAGCATCTCTAACCTGTAAACCGCCACCGCCTCGTCTATTAGCGCCGGCCGAGCCAAGCGGACGGCGGGTTTGATTTCCTGAGGCATAGCTTCACCGCACGGCTCTGGCAGCTCTGAATTGCAGCACTTAATACAGAAGGGAGACCAACAGGACGGCTTCTGTTGTCTCTGGGGGATCGTCGAAGAGAACACCGACAATTTACCAGCCAGTAGCAATGACAGGAAAAGAACAAAAAGCAAGATAAAGAAGCAGTCAAGGAGCTGAAATGAAAACGCTCTTAAAGCTTATTGCACAGAACAAGGTGCAACTGTTTCGATCCTGCAGGCTTACAGATGTGTGATTTCAGGAGGGTGTTGAATTGACTGAAAGGACAGCATCTCATTGTCAAGGAGGTTCTATAAACTAGAAATATATATATATATGAGATGCAGCACAAATACACAAGCACAGGCGGCGTGTTCAATGTCTTCCACCTACACTCCAGCTATTGTGAAAGAAAACCAGCTGCAAAGAGCCACATAATACATCGATTACATCAGCGAAAGGAGCAACTAAAAGCGGTTTGATTTCCAGTCATCTGTAGAATAATATGCTAAATGTTGCATTCACACACGGGAGGCAGAGGTGGAATTAATGCAGCGAGACGGCATTCAAACACCTGGTTAATATTTACGTTGGCTGAAAAGGTCTCTGCGGAAAACGAATCCATAACGGACGAATCAATTAAGTCATGAATCCGGTAAAATGCCAAACATTAGCGTGTTTCAGCTTCTCCTACCGTTTGTTTTTCTATCCGGGTAAAAGAAACAAAACAAGTCATGCAAAGACGCCACCTTTGACATCTGAATGATTAGCCGATAAGTTTAGCTGCAAATCGTGTTAGAGGCTGAAACGCTGACGTGGCGGTTCTTTTTATTTCATTCTTCGAGCTTCGAAGGTCAAAGGTCTTAAACGGCAATCACTGGCCATCGTTTGTACCGAAGAGAGGAAACAGGACAAAAGATCTGGGTCAGACGCATAAAGCTCTGCGTGGACTAAAACTCCGTGTACGCGCTAAAACGTTCGCTCTTTTCATCGGATTTGTAAAGCTGCGAGCGCGCCTGGTTCTGCTTGATAAATGTCAGTCATTGTGGAACCGGGCGCCTGAGTTTTACTCCCACAGTCGGACCGGTTTCCCGTATGGAAACTCGCTCCCACACATCAGACCTTTTAATGTCCAGAAGAGCAAAGAAAACAAGACGTCCAGCACAACATCCGTGACGGCTTTATGTGCAGCTTCATCTCAGTCATTTAAATATCAGAATTTGATAGGTTCATTATTGATCTATAGGGCTCGTGCTGAGACTAAGTTGAGCTTACAAATGGTGGATAACATTTTTTTTTTAAATCTCAAAACACGGCAGACATGGGGAAACAGTGCCTCAGTGTAAACAAACAGAAATGGATGCGGTGCTGCCCCCTAAATGTCAGACGGCTTTGTAGAATATCCCGTTTATAATCAGAAATGAATCACTTCCTGTACAACCTACAGTAGAACAGCCCATTTGTCGTCATAGAGTGATGTCATCATCCTGGTTTTTGTCATAACAAAAGTTGATTCCAGGAATAACTTTTGTCCGTTTAAAGTCACGGTCAGCCGATCGTTGCGACTCACGGGCTGATCGTCAGCCGTGCGTGGCAGATTACCTCACCCCGGTCAGCCGCGGGAGGCAACGTGTTTGTTGGTTTGTCAGATACCTGCTCACCTGAGATCTGCTTCACTGAGTTCTTCACACACTGTCTGACGTTAATTACTGCACATCAAAGAGAATCGCATGTCGTCCATCGTAACTGCACTGCTCAGCGGTTAGGTTTGATCTCCAGCTATAAAGGATAAAATATTCCATGAGAGACCCACAGGTGTGATCTCGTACGTTAGAGGAAAGATACCTTTACTCCCTTGTAAATAATATGTTTATTGATCGTAAGGCAGGGGCGTCCAATCCTGGTCCTGGAGGGCCACGGTCCTGCATGTTTTAGATGTTTCCCTTCTTCCAACACACCTGATTCATATGATCAGCTCATCATTAAGCTCTCAGGTGTGTTGGAAGAGAGAAACATCTAAAACATGCAGGACCGTGGCCCTCCAGGACCAGGATTGGACACCACTGTCGTAAGGTGATAATGTTTGGCCTTTTTTCATGCTCGTACACTTTTCCCAGTTTAATGTTTAATAAAAATGTAAAACAAGTCTTGTTTTCTTTACTTAAATACTTAATTTGCCAAATATATGCTAAATACATGTGATACAGGCCATGTGGGTGGTGCTGGTCCAGCACATCGGCTAGTTTTCACACCCAAACTCGCCGCCATCTTGAAGCCCACTTATTGGAATATCCCAGATACAGTCAGAATTGGACCCAGAGGTTGACAATAAACTATTATAATCCATAAAGGAGTTAAAATGAGGTTTATAAATACAAGTTTAATTGAAGTTGAGACAATGCAACGCCTCCCAATTTACGGTTAATCTCTTGATCACATCCCCCAAAGCGTGCTGAAGTTATTCCCTCATAGAACTGGAAACAATCCAGTAGCTCCATAAAACAGTGAACTCATCGTGTCTCATTCCACGATATCTTTTATTGCACTTTTGCTTTCTTGTCTTGCTTCTATGAGCCTCGTCACAGCC